GAAACCTTTTCCCTTAGTCATTCAAAATAGCCCCCAAACCTCCATACACTAGTATTTTCTGTATTTTTGTTTTTTGCTTGCCAGGATACGTAGAAATATCTGCAGCACATATATAAACAGAAGGCACATTTAACATACCTAAACCTTATTTATAGGATCGTAATTATTTTCATTACCTGTAGGAATGCTAGTTAGAGTCCAAGGAATTTAAGAACCTTGGTGTGGGCCAAATGCCTCCAGGTGACGCATTTTTCCACAGAGAGGAAATGTAAGTGAATCTGTTATTTCTTCAAAATTTAGTTTTGCTTTTTTGTTTTGTTTTGTTTTTGGCCTCCATGCCAATGGCAAGGAAAGAATCAATTCCATTTAAGTTTTTTTTTTTTTTTTGAACTTTTGCCATCTTCCTGTTGGGAGACCCATGCCAGTGGGCCGATACTTGGGCCACTTTCTCACCGGAGGAGCGTGTGGCACTGCTGCGCACCTAGTAAGGACTTTCTTTGTATCTGTTAAGGGGAGAAGTGAATGGACACTTTTTAAGTGGCATTTCCCGGAGCCCTGGAAACGCCCCAGTAGCTGACCCGGGCGCCCAGAACGGAAATCCAGCTCCCTCGCTGGAGCCTGAGACAGAGCTGGCTACCTGCAACCCCGCTTCGGGTTCCCCCGCGGCTGGATTTCGGAGGGGCTCACGGGGAAGGCCAGCGGGCAACAGACAACCACAGCTTCATGTGTGAGGCCTGCAGGCCGGGCCGCGCACTGCGCAGCTATGCCACGTTCACGTGCTTGTGAGAGGGAGGGCACGCAGCCCTCCGACCCACGCGTGCGCCAGCGCGCTCGTACCTGTGTTTGTAGAGGTAAAAGGCAAACCCTGACAGGATCAGAGCGAAGAAGGGGGACGAGGATGGCCGCCCCCACTGAGCCGCTGCTGGTGAAATTTTATTCACACGCAGTACGCACGTTACCAGGTGAAGCACAGACGTCCCTCTTCTCTGAGTAAACACCCAGGTTGCTGGGTGTTTTCTGACCCCCTCACTGGCTACAGAAGGGTCACCGTGGGGGCCATCACCTGCTCAGGAGCCACCGCTGTCTCCCACGGGACCCCTCCTCGTTTCCCAGCCCTGGTCTTCCTTCCCTTTTCCATTTGCTTTTTGAAACACATCAAGGCGTAGATGCAGTTCCAATTGTGTATGGGCCGCCGCTCCACACGCAGCTGCTGTGAGGGGTGCACCGGGGCGGAGCCGCGCACCCTTCCTGCTGCTTTTACTCAGGGAAGTAATTTGAATGCGAAGTGAGACTGGGCTGTAAATCTTGTTCAGGTTGTGGTCATTTGTCACCATAGTTTTACTTAGTTGATGGCATGGCCACCAGCTTAAGGCTTTGTCCGTTCTCGCTATGATGTGATTTTTTGAACAGTCTTTTAGTTGTTGTTTGCTCGTCACTATTGTTGCTTTTCATAGAAAGACATTGTAGATGTTTGTGAAAAAATTCTTAGTGAACTGTGAAGTCCTGCTGCAAGGTCAGAAACGTGCCTGGCCATCTCAAGTGCGAGAGCAGGCCTGGCGTTCAGAGAGCTGCACAGTCTGCCCGACGCCTGTTTTCTGGAGGCTCCAGTGTAAGCAGAGTGACCCAGACATGACTGTGACACGAGCGTGGTCTGGAGTCTGACTCAGAGGGGGCACCCCGTGCGCACTCGCCGACCGCGTCCGTGCCCAGACTCCACACGGGTGAGTGTCTGCCTGGAGGGCGATGTCACGCTTACGCCCGCCCACTGCTCTGGCAGCTTCTTTGTAACTGGACGGAGATCCGTGGGCCTCCGCCCCGGGCCCAGAGACCGGCGCCGCAATGCTGGGGGGGGCGGGAGCGGCCTGTCACACGGGTCTGTCAGCCACAGGACAGCCACTGTCCACAAGGGACTTCCTTTACTTGAGCTGAATTAGTGGACATCTGCATAGCCACCTGTGGCCGGCGGCTGTCCTACGGGAAGGCCCAGGTTGGAGATCAGGGGAAGGTCTGGTGTTCTCAGTGCCGCGTTTCACCCTTCGGGTCCACCATCTCCCCTCTGTTAAACTGTCAGAGTGGTTTCCCTGTAAGAAAATGGAGTTAAAATGGCCTTTCCTTTCCCTGACTACCACCCAGCACAGGGGCTAATAAACAGTGTAGTGTCCAAAAGATGGCTCCTAGGGGAACCAGGGGCCCGGGACAGCCCAGTCACAGTGGGAGCTGGCAGTAGCTTGGTGTGGGCCGTTCCAGGGCAGAGTTAGCACCGCAGCCTCTGGACCAGAGGCGACGCCTCCGGACCTGTCACTGGCCTAGTGGCAGTGAGAGGGTGAACCATTTAAAACTCCAGGAGCTTCTGTTACCTCTACAAAAAATAACTACTAAGATGTGGCCTATTCCAGCTTTAATAAGAGAGACTCAGCTGGGAGAAAAGAACTGTGTACATTCAAAGGTTACAGGCTTATGGAGAAAGGCATCTTTGTAATATATTCAGGGTACCATTGTTCCGGTGCTGTGAGATGACTGAGTTTCCGTGCCCATGAAGGTTTTCCTAAATGGGTCAAACTTCTCTACTGTGAATTTTTATCTCCATAACAGTTATAAAAGTAGTCTTTTAGAATACCTGTTTTTTGTAACCAACTTTGAAATCCAAACTAAGGGTGGAAAATAGATTTTTTCAGTGCTCCCAGAAATACTTTACAGGGCGAAAAAAGAACTAGGCATCATTTCTAGATTTTAAAGTGATTTATGGGAAGTTTGGTTAGTGCAGAAACTTCCGAAGTTCTGTAGGCAGTTGTCTGTTAACCCTGCAGGTGGGGCAGGTAAACTGAACTTGCCTCCAGATTACTGCAGTCACTTTGGTTACACCAGTAAGGGGCTTGTTAGAGTATCAGCACCATGGTGGCAAGAGGGTCTGGTGTTCTCAGTGCCGCATGTCGGCGCAGAGGTGGCAAGAAGAGATTCGACATGGAGAGAGTCCGGGGCGATTTTGATTGTCGTCAGGATCGGGGCCTGACGTCCTCCCTGGCCACAGGGACCCGCTCAGGGATGGGTGTCGCTGTGGGAGCTCGCAGAGGGGTCAGTGGGGGATCTCCGTCCAGAAGGGCACTGCGGAGGGAAGGCCTCAGTGTCAGTGAGCCGACTCCATCTTCCCGTGTCCCCTCCCCCTGCTCCGTGTTCCCGTGCAGGGCGACGTTGGGCTCGCTATGGGCAAACTGTACGGGAATGACTTCAGCCAGACCACCATCTCACGCTTCGAAGCCTTGAACCTCAGCTTTAAGAACATGTGCAAGTTAAAGCCCCTCTTGGAGAAGTGGCTCAACGATGCAGGTGAGAAATGGCCCCGCTGTCCATCGTTCAGGGGGTTGTTGTGTAATCAGGGTTTGTATTTTGTGTTGCCTTAGTGGCTCTACAGAATCTGGAAGCGCGCAGCCAGTCTCGGAGCATCTGTGTAAATAATGCTCCATAAATCAGAGCGCCAGTTTGTTTAAATAGTGATTGCAGTGCACACAGTCACCAACAATCCCAGCCTTGGAATAGTTCTCGAATTTGAGCCAGGGTTGGGGACTGCGGAGTGAAAAGGAGAGAAGGCCTATGCATTTAGGTAAACTCGAAAGTCAGGTTTATTGATTTTTCCTCAATGAATTATAATAAATGTACTCTTAATAATATTTCTGCTTGTTACTAAAAATGACCACGTATTTCATGCATAAGAAGTTGAGCAGCTCATTTTTTCATTTCTTTTTTAAAGATCTTATTTATTTTTAGAGAGAGGGGAAGGGAGGGAGGAAGAGAGGGAAACACCAATGTGTGGTTGCCTCTTGTGTGCCCCCAACTGGGGACCCGGCCTGCAGCCCAGGCACGTGCCCTGACTAGGCATCGGACCAGCGACCCTTTGGTTCCCAGGCCAGCGCTCAGTCCACTGAGCCACACCTGCCGGGGCTGGTTTTGACTTGTGTGTTTTATGCTGAGGTTTCCTTTTGGAAAATCTGGAGTTTGAGGTGCAGAGTCACAGGCTGTGAGCTCCGTAAGGAAGCACGGAAACCCCAGACGAGGGCTCTCATTTAGCTGTGGACACGACCAGGTGTTTGGAAAAGACACCCCTGCAGCCCCCACGCATGGACAGTCTGGGGCCACGCGTGGCTCCGAGACCTCACTGAGCTCCCTGCTGAGGGCGCTGCTCTGCCCCTCCCCCCACCTCCACGGAGTGGAGGATGCCCAGAGTGGAGGATGCCCAGGGCCGCTCTGCTACTGCACGACGGAGCCTTCTTCCAGCTTCCAGGAGTTCAGATGTTTTTAGAGAGTTGATGCCCTACGTTTTACTAATAAAATGAGAGGTCATTGGCAAGATAAACAGTAAATGTTTGGTAACTTCCAACAAGCTTTATTTCTGGAGCTAATAAATAATAAATAAGCAAGCAAAACCAAAACAGGAGAGCAGAACTCCGCAGAGGTTGAGCTGAGTGGGAGAACAGAAAGGGTCCATCCCTAGTTCTCAGGCGCAGGGGTCAGAGGGCGTGGTGGCAGGTGGTGGGACAGAGGAGCTGCCGGGAAGGGTGACATGTGTGCCTGGCCGCGGCGCACGTCATTCCGGTTGGGGTCCCAGACGCTGGACCGCTGACAGCCCGGACCAGCTACTTCTTTGAACAAGTGAAGGCTCAGATCCCAAAGCCTCTACCGAGCACCAGCCGGTGGGCTGACGAGTTAGGCCTGATCCGCAGCCGCCGCCACCAGAGGAAGGGCCGCCTGCTGTTGGTGAGGGGAACCTACCTCCTGCCCTCTCTCCTCTGCCCTCCCAGGTCCCTGGGGCCTGAGGTTTGTGCTGTGTCATCAGTGCTGTCCCCACGTCCCCGACACCCTCTGAGGGCAGTGCTGCGCAGCCCCTTGGGCTTGTCTCACACCCCACAGCCGGCGCCACGCTGAGCCCTGCCCACAGGCCGTCTGACCCCCATGCTGGTGGCAGACCTGTTCCCCGGGAACTGCCGAAATAAACTCGACCTAAAGCAGTGATTTCACCAAAGCATTTATTAGGCAAAGAGGCAGCTTTAGCAAACCGGCGTAAGTTCAACCTGGCCAAGCAGAAGGGTGTCCATCTGGGCCCCTGTCCTCCAGGGTCTCTGTGGGCCCAAGTGGTGTGGACTCTTCCCTGCAGGCCTGCACGGTGATGGGTGTGCCCTGAACTCAGTGTGACGGGCACCAGTGCCCAGGACGCACATGGCCTCGGCCCTGCCATGGCCTCCCCGCCCGGTCACGCTCGGTGCCGGCGTGGGGTTTTACACTAGTTCACTCCTGGCAGACTCCCCCGTGAAGGCAGACGGGTGAGTTCCTCCTTCAGCCCCAGGGAGTCTGGCCCCAGACCACGGTATGGGAGGGGCGCCGACTGAGGGGGGCTCCAGAGCCTTCCCACTGCCGGCCCAGCCCCTTGGCCAGACCTTTGCAGGAGGAGGCTGCCCCCGGCCCCATTACGAGCTATCAAGTAGGGTTGGGGGATGGACGGCTGATAACAGAAGCCAAATTTACAGCAGCGTAAATGGACAGCACAGTTAGGACTGTTCGGTGGGGGTGCATGTGCAGGGCTTTACCAAAAAGCTTGGCTGGGGGCAGTGCCCACCCTCCCCCACCCTCCCCCACCCTCCCCCACCCCCAGGCAGGAGCCACAGTCCCCGGACAAGACTGAGGACCCCTGGGCTCCCGGAGGACCGGCCACCGCCCAGGGACGCTCTCCCTCACGGCGCACCAGGCAAAGTCCTGTGAGTGAAGGGCTGGGAGTGGAAGGGACCAAACGGTCACGGCGCGAAGCGTCCTGCTCCGGGAGAGGAAGGCTTCAGTGGTGAGGGCTGCGAGCCAGGTCGGAAACGGTTTGTCCTGGGCCTCACAATCTCCGTGTCTGCAGGGCTGGCCTGGGAGCGTGCGCCCAGCCGCTAGCGAGGCGGCAGTGCCTGCATGTGGAGGGCGTCGTAGGTGTCCTTGGTGGCCGAGCTGAGCCCCTGGGGACAGGAAGTCAGAAAAGACAGTGGGCTGGAGGCTGTCAGGGCACAAGACCACTGGGCCAACAGGAAGTGTCCACACATCTCCAGAGGCCCAGGGACCAGCCCCTCGTTTCCGGGGCGGGGGGACAGTGGTGTCCCCACTGGGCATGGCGGAGGGCAGCTCCTCTCCTGCTGAACCCCCACTTTGCTCTGCAGTGCTGTGCCCAGGCAGCCCCTGCCGCCTCTTCCCAGGCCACGCCAACACAGCTCCATCTGCCAGGCCACGGGCAGGCTTGTCTCAGCCACGTCCCGGGGCCCCTGGGACATCACGGTGACTGGGGCCAGCCTGCCAGGTTGGAGTCAGTGAGGGGACCCAGCTGGGACCTGGCCAGGGCAGCCAGCTGTAGAGGAGACCCCTGGGGTGATGTTTGCCTAGGCATCTCCCCTGATTTGCATAAACCAGCCACCTCGCTGTGGCACTTCCTTGTCAAACTCATTACTGGTCCTGATTTTCTCCCTTCAGCCTCCCCGCCCATCCTGCCATCCTCAGAGGTCTGAGGCTCCGAGGTGGAGCAGCTGCACGGGCCGGGTGGTGGCCGGGGGCCGCATGGCACAGCCCCAGGTAGTGGCTGCTTGGCCCCCACCGCTCGCCCTGACCAGTTGTTAGCAAGAGCATGTGGGAGCCTGGCCACGCCCTGGCTGGGTGGCGCCAGCAGGGAAGGAGGTGCCGGCGGACCTCGAGGCGTGCAGGTGGGCCCTTACCTGGTAGAGGCCGTCATGCCCCTTGCCTCGGCGGCGCTGGTTCTGCGGGGGAGATGAGAAAGGGGGCGGGTCAGGCTGTCGGCTGTGGCTTCTGCTCTCTCGAGGGCACCGGTCAGGCCTGGGCCTCTGCAGAGGGAGGGAGGGACCAGGCTCCACCGCGCCCAGGTTTGCTCTGCCCACTCAGATCCACGCGGACACCCGGTTCCGGGGGTCCAGGCCACGCTGCCTGCCACTGGAATACACAGGTCTCCGCACAGCCTCGTGGGTCCTGGCTGGTCACCGAAGCTGCCAGGAGCAGCAGCTCCATGGGGTCACAAGCCCCAACCACAGAGTCTGTCCCAACTCTAGGTCCTCTGTGACCCGGGCCTCCAGTGCCACAGGCCCCCCCATGTCAGTAGTGACAGACCTGCGCTGCCGGGACCAGGCTCAGGCCCCTGGCATCGGGGCCTAGTTCTGAATCCTCCAGGGCTCTGGCGCCTCAGTGGTGTCCTTCGAGTGCCGGGTGGGGAGGAGCGAGTTAACCTTCGCCCCCGTGGTCCCCATGAGGCTTCAGCAGGCGGTGTGGGTGGGCGGGGAAAGCCAGGAGGCTCCCCAAGGAGCACAACCCCGCCCCCCAGGGTTGGCGAGGGAGCGGCACCCACCTCGGGTTTCATCCCGATCTCACTGTAGGCCTCAGCCATCTTCTCCCGCTGCAGAGCCTGGAGGGGGGAGCATGGGACACGGGTCCCCCACTGCGGCAGACTCGGGGCCCCTCCCACACCAGGCCTCTCGGTTCCTGAGTTGGGGGGTCCTTATTCACTTGTCTGCCAAGAGCCAGCTCCCACCCACTCTCTCTTCCTCAGCCCTCGGGTGGAGCTCTGGCTGCCAGCCCTTTGCCCGGAGCTGAGCAGCCCAGGAGGGCGAGACATGGGGTTCCAGCCATGGAACAGGGGTGGTGGGCAGCTCGGGGCTCAGTGGGCCCCGGAATCATGCATTTGAGCCAGTTGTCAACCAGCCGCAGAGGTGCAGGGGCACCTCTCCCCAGGCCCCCGCCAGGCCCCTGCTTTGTGGCAGACCCAGAGTGACGTCTGTAAACAGCGTCAGGCCCACTGGGGTGGGAAGGTCGGCCTCCCCTTGAAGGGCGTGAAGGGCCACACGGGGAATGGGAGCCCCCGGAGGGCCCACCCAGCCTGACCTGCAGGCCCTGCCCCCACGGCCCCCAGGACCTGCAGCATGGGCTGGGGCCGAGGGACAGGAGGCCCGGGGGTGACAGGAGGGGACCCTCCCGCAGCCCCACTCACGTTGTAGACGCCTTCGTGTGGGTTCTTCCTCCTCTGCTGGCAGAGACAGGCAAGGGTCAGGTGTGGGGCTGTCACGGTGGGGGCAGCCGCCCCACCCACCCCCACCCTGCCCTCTGTGGGCCCCTCACAGTCCCCTGCACAGCCATGCTGGGACAGACCGGGTGTCCGCTGCAGCCCGTCGGTCCCCCGGCCAACACACTGGCCCTTGTAGCACAAGCTTACAAGTGAGGCTTTCGCTGAAGGGGAAGAGCACCAAGCACCCCCACTGGGAGCACGGCCAGCCTCTGTTCAGCAGGACCCACAACTCGTCCAGCCCCACCCGCTCACCCCTCCCGGTCCAGGTAAGGAGAGAAGGTTTGGGGGGTTGAGGGGTGGGGTGTCAAGGAGATGGAGGGGGTCCCCCCATTTGCTACAACAACAGCACACCCTGCACAGAGCTCAGATGGGAGGTGCTGGGGGGACATCAGGGTCCCTGCTGGTGTCAGGCAGGGTGATCCTGGCCTCGTCCAGCTGCTGCCCTGGCATAGGAGGGGGACAGAGCTGCCCGGTGGTGACCGCACTCTCGGGGACCTAGCACCCAGCACCCCTTCCCAGGTGGCTCTCTTGGTCTGTCCCCCTAGGGCAGATGGTGCCACTGGGAGCACATCTCAGGGGCCCGAGGAGCAGTCAGGGTCTCGGGGAGCTTGGGCAAGGGGGCGGTGCAGCTCCCCCCCCCCCAGCATGCATGCGCATGCGCGAACTGGTGCAGCCCCGGGGGCGGGGCCAGCTCTCCCGGCCCGGCCCCTTGCAGGCAGGGTCTGGGGCAGTGACTGTGTGCTAGTGGCTCTGAAGGGTCCTCCCGCCAGGCCCTGCCCCTCCCACCCCCACGCACACACTGGCACAGGCAGAAAGAAGAAAGTCCTACCTGCTTTCCTCCCATCTCAGGGTCCCGGCCGCGTCTCTTATCCAGCACGTCATACTCCTCTTTCCGCCCCAGGTTGAGCTCCTGAAACAGGAACGTGTGGGCGGGGTGGGGGTACCTGGGGGGGGGGGACCCTGGGGGCTCTCAGAGAGAGCAGCAGGGACTGGGGGTAACAGTAACTGGTCCCTCGGGTCCCAGCATCTCAGAGAACCCCTCGGGGTCATGTTACCACGGGTCGGGGCAGTGGTCCATTTGACTGCACGGGGTCCGCCGCAGGGGAGGAGCCCGCCAGCCCGGCCCTGTGAGCATCCACACCGCGCAGAGCGGGCCTTTCCAGCACCCGGTCCCGAGAGCCTGTTGGCCTCTTAGCTCCCGCCGACGCAGGTGTGTTACTGCCCGGGTTTTCCGGGGTTCAGTGGAGGACGCCCCTTCTCCCTGCCGGCCATGCCCTGCCCAAGGCCCCCGCATCCCCGCTGGCTGCGAGACCAAGCAGAGACCAAGCAGACTCACATTGTAGAGCTGACCTGGGCCCTGCCCCTGTGCCTGGACCACGGTGTCCGTACTCTGGCTGAACTGGAAGAGAGGGGACAGCACAGTGTGAGTGCCCCAGTGGGGCCACCACCTTGCTCTGCCGCCTGGTGGCCCGGTGTGAGCCCCACCCCACACAGGGACACCGGCAGCACCGCGCTGGTCCTGGCAGACTTCAGGCGACCCCACGCAGTTCTGTATCCCCAGTTCTGTGTCCCGCAGAATATTCCCAGGCCCTTTCTCCCAGCACCTTGGAGGACAGCCCCACCGTGGCCCTGTGGCTGCACAAGGTCCCACTCCTGTGCTGCCCGAGTCCCGCCTGGTGCTGGCGGAGGGTCCTGAGGACCAGCGCAGGGCGCACCCGAGCCGCCCCTTTCCCGCTCCCCGCCCAGCCGGAGATTGCCAGGCCCTGCAGGTCGGAGCCGGGGCCCACCCGAGGGACCTGGGACCTGGGGCGGCTCCTTCAGACATTAGAGAAAGTCCACACAACTCTGCTTTTCCAATGAAACAGCCAAGTCTCAACTCCCAGACAGCCTGGGTTGAGGCGCTGCAGTGACAACAGGGCCGGAACCTCCTTCCCCGCCAGGCCTCCCTCGTCCTCCGCCCAAGCCCCCGCCCCTCCAGAAACCCAGGCCCGGTGAGGCTCCACGGAAACCCAGCTGGGGCCAGACTTCCCACTTCCTGCCAGGGACTTGCGTGGGCAGACGGACAGTGGACTTGGGGAGAGACGGAAGTACAAGGCCGTTTCCTTCCAGCAGCACCTGCCTCCCCCCACCGAGACCTTGGTGTCGCATGTCAATGCTCCTCACTAACCTGGCCAGTACAGGGTCCCCAGTCTACCCAATGTGCCCCCTGGGCTGGTCCCTGCTCGGCCCACGGTACAAGCCATAGGTACAACCCACGCTCAAGACTTTGCAAGACCATGGCCCCTCTGAACACCCACCGAGGGAGGCCCACACCCGCCCCCAGAGTCAGGGGCGCCCACCTTTGCTCTCAGGAACAGGGCAGTGATGATGATACCATAGATGAAGAGGATCCCGTCCAACAGGTAGCAGAGTTTGGGGTCCAGCAAGCCGAAGCTCTGTGCGTCTGTGCCAAGAGAAGAGACCCGTTAGCCAGGCCCCGGTGACAGGCCGTGTCCCCAGCCCCTCTCTGACCCCAACCCCCTTCCCACCCTCTTGGACCAGCTTCTGAGGAAACCTCACCTGTCCCTGTAGCACCGTGACACCTGGCAGGGCCACAGAGCCAGGGGGGAGAGGAAATGGGGGGTGGGGGACAAGGGAGGCTGTCCCCGTGCTCAGGACAGCTGCCTGGGCGCCACGGGGGCAGCTGTGCCCAAGCCCCACATGCACCATGAACTCTGGAAGCCTCTGCGTCCCCTCAGTGTAGGGGTGTGGCTCCCTGAGGCCCCCCCCACAGGGACAGGATGGGACTGAAGGTCGGACGAGGTCATTCCAGCCTCTGTCCTCACTGGAACTTCGAGGGTCTGGGTGCCTCTCCTCCCTCCCCTCCCTGACTCCGGCGTCCACGGTGCCAGGGACCAAGTAGCCCGCCCTCAACCCCCAGGGCTGCCCAGGTCAGTGGGGTCTGTGCTGCTCCCCTCGCGGGCCGAGTGGTCTCATGAGCAGCAGAGCAAGGAACCCTTGGGGGCCCTCCCCACCCAGACCTCTGGCCTTCTGCTCTCGGTGGTCGTTCCAGGCCTCAGCCCCGCACCATGCGCCAGGATGCACCTGTTCTCCCCGACCACTGCCTCTGAGCCCTCGCACGCGCTGTTCCCTCTGCACAGTCTCTCCCTTTCTGCCCCTGCACCCCCTCCATCCGGGGACCAACCGCGGCGGCCACACAGAGCCGCTCAGAGGCTCCTCCGCAAGATCCCGCATCAACCCTCGTGCGGCTGCGAGAGAGTGGGTTTGGTTGGCCCCGACGGCTGGGGAAGGGGCCACCGTGGGCGTTCAGGTTAAAGAAAAGTTAGATTGTATGTGCAAGCTCACGGAACTGTGAGTGAGGGGGCGCGGACTGGAGCCTAGACGGTCCTTCCTCCTAGGGACCTGAGCGGCGACTCACCCCGCACCACCGGGCGCAGCGTCTGGTCGTCTCCCACCCTCCGCCTGGTGTTTCAGGCGCGTGGGTGCCAGGTGCGCCCCAGCTGCGGTTGGTCCTGAGGCCGAGGCGCCCTCTGGTGGCCGCTGTGGGAGTGGCTACTATGCCCTGGAGCGCCGCCGACTTATCCCTCCCGATGACGACTTGGGGCAAGTTATTCACCCTCTTCAGCGGCTTCTCGTGTTAAACACGGTGGAAGCGGTAACATTTCCTCCGTGTTCACTCTGTGCCAGATCCCACTTTAATGCAGTCACTGGTGAGACCCCCGCAGCAGCACCCCACGGGGACTGAGCCCCAGAGAACTTCAGGGTGCCCAGCAGCGCACACAGCCAGTGGGGGGCTGCCTGAGGTGCAGCGTCCCCCCACCCCCGCTTTTCCCTCCTCCGCGGAACCCTGCCCCCCTTCACAGGGGCGATGCTCGGCTCCTCCCACAGGCTGCCCCCAGAACCACCTCCCCCGCTGCCCGCACCCCCCCCCCCAATCACTCTGTCCTCAAAGCTTTGACTCTCTCCCTAATTCAGGGCCCCTGCCAGCCAGGGCAGCCGGTAGCCTTGTAAACTGCCTGAAGTCCCTGCTCAGAAGCCACTGGCGACCCCTTTCCTGTGAGCGAAGCCCAGACCCCTGTCCAGGCCACACCTGGGCCCTGATTCACTTGCCTCCCCAACTCTGGCCCGGTCCTTCCCACCCCGTCCCTGCACCCGGCGTCCACCCATGGGGCTGGTCCAGCTGCTGTGCCCCTCATGGACATTCAGGGCAGGAGCCTGAGTCCTGCAAAGTGCCCCACAGACAAAACGCGAGTGGGTCAGGAGGTCTATCGCCCCTCCAACCCCCGCACCCCCGCCCCGGTTGTTAGTGCTGCAGGTGAGAGGGGGAGGGGCTGCCTCCTCTCCACCCACCCCCTCCTCCCGCCCCCCAGTCGGTGCTCACGGGGCGCAGGGCAGACAGCCACCAGGCGCCGGGGGAGTCTCTGGGGAGAAGCTGCCCCCTCCCTGCAGAGGCCACCAAAGCCGAGCTAACCTTTCTGTTTCTCTTGGGACCGGAGAGGAGGTGTCCGAGGGATTTATGGGGGTGGTTGGGATTCAGAGGGAGGCCTGGGAGAAAAATTGCTCGGCTGCCTGTCACATAAAATGAGAACAGAAAACTTACTGGACAGTAAATTCAGAACAAGTAAGAAGCCATGTGTCCTCGGGTTGTGCCGAGCTGGCGTGGTGGGGGAGGGGAACTGGGCGCCTCCCCAGAGATGAGTGATGGGAGCTGGTTGTCGTCTCTCTGTCCGAAGAGCAGCTTCGTTTTGTGATCAATGACAGGTGTGGTGAGCCCAGGGTGGAGGGTAGGGCCCTCCCTCTGCGCCCTCCCTCTGCCTGGTCCAGCAGTGCCTGTGCTGGGGGGGATGGGCCTGAGCAAGGTCGGGGAGCCCAGAGAGTTCCAGGAGGAGGAGCCCAGGGCCAAGTTCAATTACGTCACTGATTAAATATTCACTGGGCCACTGCTTGATGTCGGGGGAATATTGAACTAGAAAGCCCAGGCTGGGTGTCAGGTGGGTTTTGTCCCTTCCCCTCCCACCAGGCAGCCGTGTGGGCAAGTCACCTCACATCTCGTGGCCTCGGCTTCTCCATCTGTAAAATGGAGGGCAGTCACGTCTACCCTCAGGGCTGGGTGAGACCCTGAGGTCATCTGTACACAAGGGCTCCCTGCACCCAGCCAAGCCGTGGGGTGAGGTCCAGCCCCAGCTGCCTCTGCCCCTGCTACCGGGGCCTCCGCGCCCGCACACGAGGCAGATTCGGCAAACCTGGAAGTTAGAGGCTTCGGCCCAGTTCCTTACCCCACTCCATTGCATCCTGCTCTAACGGGGGACCCGTCTCCCGGCTGCAGCCCCACCTCCAAGGGACCCCCCACGTCTGGACAGATTGCAAGTAGGGACACAGAGCCTCTCTGGGCTGAGAGGTGTCAGTGTGCTGGGCTGGCATCCTCGTGTGGGTGCCCGGGGGTCAGGCCTCGCCCACGGCGAGGACCCAGGCTGAGACAGAGTGTTTCTGCAGGTGATTCGGGCCAGTCCAGGGCGGAGCAGGGCCCTGGTGACCCCTGCTGAAAAGCCGGCTGTTGCTGTGGAGGAGCCGGCACTTCCAACCCCGGAGTGGGGTTTGCACACTCAGGTACTTTTAGCAGTGGAGTGGGGCTTGCACACCTAGGCACTTGCACAGTGGAGCAGGATTTGCAGCCTGGGAAGGCAGGGGCCCCACCTGCACCCACAGTGGTTCGCAGCCCCGAGACCCCCCACCGGCGTGCTCACTGCCATCCCCCTCAGAATTCTGGAGGAGCTCCAATAGCCGTCGCCTGGCTGCACAGGCAACCTGGGTTCTGGCCCTTTCCCAGCCCCCGCCCCCGGGAGTGCCCCTGACACTGCAAGGGGTTCAGCAGTCCGCGCAGCCCCCTAAGAAAATCTTTCCTCCCAAGAGATGGGGATAAGGCGACAAAGAAACCCAGCCACACCCTGTCTTTGAAAATCTTCCCAGCGGGGTGCAGCCTGGGGGTGCTTGGCCCCATCCCACAGACTGGACCGCACTTGGCTTGGAGGGTCAGACGTGCAGGTGTGGCCGACCTGCAGGACTCTCCTCCCCCACTCTCCTCCACAAGGCCTCACTCTGCAGAAACCAGCCTACTGCCCGGTACCGTCCCTGGAGCCCAGCCCCCCACCCCCCACCCCCCACTGGCTCCGTCCCTGTTCGTTCAGCCTGGCCTCAGCCTCAACGCCCCCCACCTCCCCATCCTGAGCCCAGGGTGTAACTTCTGGGTCCAAAGCTCCTTAGCTGTGGCCTTGCTTTCACTTTCAGCCTAGTAAGCTGGGAGACAGCCAGAGGACATGCCAGGGGCAACCACAGGATCAGAGCGTCTCTCCCTATGGTTCATTCCGTCCTAAACGTGTCTGTTAGTGACAGCAGCTGAGCCCTCTCTGTGTGACGCCTTCCGGCCGGTCCCAGCAAGGCCCTGGTGCCTTAGGCAGCCCGAGGGGGGGGGTGGTGGGCACTACCCTGGGGCATCTGGGCTCTCTGGGTGGGTGGGTGGGGAGCTGGGTTGTCTGTCTGTCTCCCAGCGAGACTGTGAAGTTCCAGAACAGTCAGTCCAGTCCTGCCGGTGCCCCCTGCCGCCAGGATGGCCTCCCACACACCCACCCAACCAGTGAGAGCTCCTCTCACTGGAACCCCGATTTGTACTTTTTAAATTACTTCCTGTGCCTGGGTCGAATTCGATTCCCACGGGAGCGCAGAGGGTAGGCAGGAGATCATTAGGGAGCTACTGGTTTCTTTGTTGGTTGATAAACAGAGAAGCAAAGGGGGTTCAGCACACCTGCCCCTCAGTGGCAGCGCCGGATGGGATTATGCGGTCTGCTGACCCCAGGTGTCTCAGGTGTCCCTCACCTTTGGGGACAGGGCACAGACAGAGCTGTCATGCAGCTCTGAATTCACAGCATCTTTGACATTGAGTCTCGGCTGTGGGTGAAGTGTTCACTAGAGTGCCTCCCCCGCCTGAAAAGCACAGAGGATGCATTTGGGTTTCACCGGCTTCTTTCCCTCCTCACTGGCCACGCCCCTGGGCCACCCTAGAGGAGGCAGGAACAGAGAGGCTGGAGAGCCAGAAAGATGGAGATTCAGATTCCGAACCCGCCTCTTCCCGACTGTGTCCTGGATAACTTCCTCCACCCCAGAGCTGCCCCTCTGCAAACAGGGCTTAATGAGACTTAGGGGGGTGGTTAGTTATGCAGTGACACAAGGGGACAGTGTGTAGCAAGTGCCCTGCTCAGTGACACCTGCTGAGCCCCCGGGGCCCAAGTGGCCCTCTGCCACCAGAGGGCTCTGGGTGCCAGCAGCAGGCAGGGACCAGGGCTTGTTTCTGCCCTTCATCGCCATGCTCCAGGGTTGCTGCCACCCAGAGGGATCGCACCTCTTGAAAGAATTTCTTCTCTGGCACCTCCAGCCTCTGCTTGAATGCCC